AGTCTTGAAAATGGTAATGGTAAAAGAGGAAATGGTAATTAATCATTACCACCGTATGTCAAAGCACCATGGATTTACCATCTGATACGTCACTGCAACACCCAAGTAACCTGATAAGACTATTTCTATTTTATTTTGCAAGAATGTTGAAATTGGAATTCTGTGCCACAGTTGTTTGCACACATGGGTGCATTTTCTTGACAGAGACAGCAATTTTTAGTCCAGACACTGTGGTGCAATCACAAACTCTACTTTTACAATTAGTGTACCAAATGTGCTTAGACAAGATCGCTCACACCCTCAATCTCAGTCATGGATATAAAGGCTTTGACCTTACTGGCCCTAATCCAATGTGTTAGCTGACTTTTACCCCCACCATATTGCCTTCTAATTCGATTGTCTTGAGGTCCTTCAACACTAACCTGAAACCTCAGAGTGGATCTGACTGCCAAACGCTAATGAGATCTCATCATTACATGCTGTCAGCTCTACAGAATAGCTTGTACTAGTTGATTATTATTTAATGGAAATCTTTGTAGATTCTTGATGATGAGGTTTTAACATAAATGTGGATCTGATTAGAATCTTGTTACTTGGGTCAAGATTTGGTTTTGGGTAATGGTCTATTTGCAATGTGCTAATGGTGATGATTATTTTAACCACAGGTCGGCACAAGAAGAGAATCTGCAAGAACTTCATGATTAGTTTTTAATATATCTAGCAATATATACGGTACAACTTTCTGCCAGCTGTCCTTGCTCTTACCTATTAATAAAATCCTAAATTCTTCAGAGCTAATGATGTCTCATGTTTGTGCTGTTGTTTTCCAACCAAAAATGATATAACTCTTTGTGGAATGATGTCATTTAGGGTCTATCTTCTGTTAGTAAAAAGGCTATTACCAAAAAGACTAAAAGTAGTGAAAATATAAAAAATTCACCTCTGCATCCACTTAATTGTGTTTTTGTGCCAAAATTGTGTATTAATATTATGTAATCTTTAATTATATCTTTAAGAGACACTAAGGCTTGTGGTTTTAGAATGTTCCAAAAAGGAAGTATACAAAAAGCTACTTTCAGTTCTTTGGCACTGAATTCTGTATATATAGTAAATTAATGCATGTACAAGCAACACTATACACAGATTATACAATGCTATTACTATTAATACTATAATATTAATACTAAAAGTTTAAACAGAATTAGTAATAGTGTCTCACCTCTGAGCTGGTAATATTTCAGGTGGTTACTGACGGCTTGCTGCACTGTTTCTTGACTGCAGAGGCGTAGTCCACTGGACAGAAAAACATTACGCTTATGTCTTGGCAAGGGTCCATGGTCTGCAGGCTTTTCCACAAACCTTTGAAACAATCTTTGTGAGTGCTTATCGGAGTTTCCAAACATGAGAATACGGTCAACTTCCCCTGAAAAAAGAAATATACAAACAAATTACTTGGTGATAACCATTAGCCATCACACTCCCACCTAATACATATATACACACATACACAAAGATACACACCTGCAGAAATATCCAGCTGGCTTATTGCAAAAATGCAGCCTAACCAACACAGGATACAGGTCCATATGAGTTTCCACATAGTGACTTCCTGTGGCTTGAAAATTAAGCTGTTGTGCAATAGTAGCCGCTTCACTTCGGACGATGTGACCAAACCTTCCCACACCTGTGCATACCTGTTACACAGTATCCACTGATAGTTATGATAGTATATTGTTGTTATAAATTGCTATCCAGATTGTCAAAGATGAGCACAGGTGTAGAACTGTGGGGATCCTATGGCAGGTAGGCAGATGGAAGGGATTTTCCTTTTTTTCTTCTTCTAATCTTGTTTAGTAATCCTGTAGAGCAGCTAATCAAGCAGTAACTGGAAGAACTGGAGTTAACTATGAGCGCAAACCAAATATACATGTGCTGGAAATGAGGAGTTAAGGAGAAAACAAGGAAAATCTGATTTGCCAGATATCCATAAACCAAAATAATCTGAACCCAATATACAGTTCTCAGTGGAGGCATACTAACGTGACGCTTACGTAATCACTGCTCAACTGAACACTTGACCACCTGTAAGGTTAAGGACAGGTGTTAATGGTTTAACCCTTAAAGTCTGCAACAACTGTAAATGAACTGGAATCAAGATGCTTTGACTCATATAAGCTTTGGACTGGTATAATGTCAAATAAACAAATGCAATATAGCAATTAAGTACAAGGTAATAAACAAGTAAATTACATGACCAAAAGTATGCAACAAAAGTTGCAATGAAATGGAAGTAGTGATAGAAATAAAATGTAGCACAGGGCAGATCTGAATGCAACCTTGCAGTTGAATATAAGAAAGGGGCAGGGTTTAAGTGTACTAAATGGCTGGACAAGTCTGGCATACATCACCAGAGAGAAGCCTGTCTTTTTAGATGGAGCATTGCAGTGCTCTAAAACTGTTTTTTTTACAAAACTATTAATGCCCAAATTTGCATTTTCAACAGATTCACATCTGGGAACAATAGCTAAAAACCGTAGCCACTGAATGAGACCTCCAAACATGCTCCTTCTTTCCAAAACCCTGCCCTCTAAAGACCTGACTGACAAGGATATCACAGAGACAGGTGTGATTTTTCAGATTCAGGGCCATTTTAGGAAATTATTCATTCTAAATAAGATTTTGTTTTAGATGTGGCCGTGCGTGACTTGCATGGCTAAGACTAAGACAGGATTTTGTACCCCCTGTGCTCACACACCGATTTAACTGCTACAATACAATTACCGTACATGTGGCTTAGTGTCTGTGTCCTTAGAAATTAACCACCACAGGTACAGTAAATGTTTGTAAAAATACAGCCCAGTGGTTTTTGTTTTTTTGAATTACACATTGAATTGTGTTGTGTTGTTTGAAGACTGGAGGGAATGTCCAAAAAGGTTACAGAAAACACACTGGTAATTTTCTGCCAGGACTTTATCCATTTTTTCCAGATTTTTTATTTTTATTTTTCAGTGTAGCATGCTTTCATACGACTTTTTATTGTATTAAAGCTACTATTTCTGTAGTATGTATACTTTGCGCTATCCATTTTGTGTAAAACATATCTTTACCTTTGTTAGCCTGATCAAACTGTTCAATACTTGAGATTTCCAAATCACTTATCATACTGGAAATGAAAGGTGCACACGACAGATATAGCAGAAATAGTATGGAAGCATGCTGTTCCAAAAATAGGCCTGTCTCAAAGGCAGGAAATGCTACCATGTAGCTTCCACCAGGTTTTACAGACCTCCTTGGTACACAAACTTAAAGATTAATAATCACAGTTTACCAGCTAGTATACACTAAATTGAATAAGCAAACAAATAGAGAACATCATTGTCTGGAATTCTGGGATTACTAGAAGAAGGTGGGTGGTCTGCATATCAGTCTAATCTCTAACTGTCTGATTAGTGTTAAACCTATACCATCCCTGCACGCACCCAGCCTTTTGATGCTCTACTTGACCACTACTAATGAATTAGCCAATCAGAACAAGGACTCATGCCACACCCAACTGCTTATCCAATCATGTGTCCAGGCATTCATTCATCACAACCGAAGCCACTGTTAAGAGAGAGCATAAACACAGTACAAATGTCCATTTTAACAGGGTCTTCTTATTTTTGGCTTGAAAGATCAATAAATGTTTTGCCATATGACCCCTTTAAAGAAAGTTTGAGCTACTTACCTCGACAAAAACACAGACATAGAAAGAAATTTGAGATTAAAAAGAGCAAAACGATTTGTCATCATTTTATCGACATTTATTTATTTCTAAAGTTTTTCCAACAGCGTATACAAAAGCATAAAATTAATATAAAAGGTTCAAAATCAGCTAAAATATAAATATATCTAGCGTAAAATAATCACATGAACCTAAAAGCTTAACATCACTGAATGACATTCCCATGATCTGTCCTATCTTCTAAAGATTCATGTCCCAGAGAGCCTTGCTGAAACCTGTACAGATGTAGGATGAGGTCTCGAATCTCCTCCCGTTTACCTCGCACCTGTTGCCGTGGAAACCAGCGCTCCAATCTCAATGGCAATTCAAAGTCTACCACAGGGTCCTTAAAGATATACAAATAGCATTGCTATCAAAATAGATTTGAAATTGAATTGAAAATTTGGAATAAAGAATGGGTGTAATTCTACCTGTAAAAAACTTTCTGCATATTGTAGCAGATAAAGGCCACAGTCACTGCTGTTGTCCTGTAGGGGGACTGTACAGTGGGAACCTATCATGTGGTCACCACTAAAGTCACGATGACCACCTCTTTTTGTCTGCCACTCCACCTGAAGGTATCTAAAAAAAAACATCAAAATAAATCATGTCATGAAAAGAAATTTCATTATACACATTATATATATTGAAATTACAGGCAAAAATATCGTGTTGCACTAGTACTATTTACATAATACCAGCAAACAATTAATAATAATAAAGATAGCAACAACAACAGCGCTTAACATAAATATGCGATTAAGCTGGACTGTATTAAGTTCACAAACACTCACTCGCGCAAGAGTTTGAAGATACGTTCGTGAACCGACAACTTCAGGGAATCCATGATGAGAATGCATGGTCTGAAAAAAATAAAGAGTAAAAATAATTCTCAAAACTCATGGTTAAAAAAAATGTCGTTTTAGAATGTTAGTTAGTTTTAGTTAAAAAATAGTAGTTTGTTGTGCGATACATTAGCAGTTAAATCCTTTTCCTGAAAGCCTCCATAACTGCATCATAAAAAATACATGAATAAAAAGCAACATAATTATAGAAAGAAAAACTTTTTATAATCAAAATAACAACAGAAAATATCTAAAATCCATTATATAGTACTATTTTAATATTATCGTAATGTATGCAGCACAAACGTTTTTTTTATTGGAAAACCTAAACTATTCTCTTTTCTCACACTAAATTCTCTACATTATGACAAAAACAAATCAGTTAATTTAAAACACACACACACACACATACACACATACCTTTTACACACAATAGGTCTCTTGCAGGTATTTTCCGTACACTTCTACAGAAGGAAAAGGTTCTGCTATAACTGTGCATGTGCAAACTATCTGTGTCCACATGACATTTTATCAAATCAAATGCCATTCAACAAATCCAATTGTCAAATAAAGATTTCTGACTAGCAAGACCTGTTATTAAAGTTAATTTGACTTACGGGAAGATGAGTCATGCTTGACTTTATACGACTGTCATCTAGATTAAGAACAAAAGTTTGTCTAGAATCATCAAATGATACTTAAAAGTAGTAAGCATACGTAAATTAATAATACATTTTTCAAAACTGACACATCTTACCTTTGTCCTCATCACTGTTGGATCTATTCTCTCCATGGATCTCACCCTCAGACTCACCCAAACCTTCACCTCCATCACCCTGCACAGAGTCTCTGCCGTCCCTTTTCACATACTGTGGCTCTTCTAACCCAGGAAAACAGATCACCACGAGGTACCAGTGAGCTCTGAAACAAACAGCAGACATGATATAAGACACTTATAAACATGATATATTACACACTGGTATATTCAAGGCAAATTAAAGCTCAAACATTTTATAATGTCCATAGAGAGCACAAATTAGTGAATGAAATTTCAAGAAAAAAATTGCAACATGTAATTAAAAAGCAAACACAGCTCTAAAAACACTGGCCCTCAAAAGTAATTTTGGCTTAAGTGTCCAAACACTGTATTTATATAGCTGATACTCACTCTTGATTGACAGGCACAAACAGGAAGTCTTTGTCAAAGATGTCTACATGACGCGTCCACGTCCTCACACGCTGATGCCTTCTGACCTGAGCTCTGATGGACAACCAAAGTTGTAAAAACAAAAAACATTTGTAACAATAAGCATTTATCAAAGGAAAGTGCATATCAGTATCTCAAAAGGGGTATATATATATGAATATATGTGTGCCGTCTAACAAATACTCACGGTGTGCTTGTACTGTCCTCATTAGCGTTGTCTCTGCGTGTGAGCTGTTTATAGAAAAAACTGCTGAAAACATGAGATCTGTCTACAGATGCTTGCGGGGCCTTTTGCACCAGAAGATACCTAAAAAAACACGCATACAAAATACAACCTCAGTTTGCAAGTATGTCATCAATATTCAAAGAGGACTGTTTGAGACTCTTGGTAGCAAAGATATCTTTAGTGTTACAGAGATTTCAGGTTTATGCACCTAAAAACATACACTACAGTTTAAAAGTTTGGGGTCTGTAAGAATTTGTAACATTTTTGTAAATGCTTCTTATGCACACCAAGGCTGCAATTAGCCTATTTGTTCACAAATAAAAACAGCAATTTTGCAAAATATTATTGCAATTTAAAATAACTTCTAATTGAATATATTTTAAAACGTAATCTATTCCTGTGATGGCACTATGATGAATTTTCAGCAGCCATTGCTCCAGTTTAAACTGTCACATAATCCTTCAGAAATCATTCTAATATGTAATCATTGCAAGACTTATTGACCCCAAAGATTTGAATGGTAATGTATTGTTAAAAACCAATGTTTAGTTGTTTTTCACATCAGAGCTTCCTATAAGCAGTTCTTGATCAGAACAAGTTGCAAACTGGATCAAACTTCATGCTGATAGTCAAAACTCCCAGTTCTTCATCCCACTCCTTCCCAAATAACTGATGGAGTGACTGTAAGTCCCTCCACTGATACATTGTGTCTAAAAGCAATCCTTAGCTGTCTTACTTGAGGTAGAAGTCGATTATGACATCATTAAGAAACTCGCCACTGTCTAAACACTCCAGGTCCTCTGTCGTCACGGTGATGGCTCCTTTCGTGGGTGGAGGAGGGAACTGAATCAATCTAAACAGAGTTGAATGACAGTAAATTAGGACTGATTTAAATTGGTCAAAATTGACAGTGACATTTATAATGTTCCAAACTATTTCTATTTAAAATAAACATTATTTAAACTTCCTGTTCATCAAAATTCCTGAAAAAAATGCATCATGGTTTCTGCAAGAATATTAAGCAGAACAACTGTTTACAGTATGATGATAATAAGGAATGTTTCTTGAGCACCAAATCAGCATATTAGAGTGATTTCTGAAGGAACATGCGACATTAAAGACTGGAGTAATGACGCTGAAAATTTGGCTTTGACATTACAGAATAAATTATATTTTAAAATATATTAAAATAGAAAAGTTCTTTTTTTAATTGTAACAATACTTTCTAATATTACTGTTTTTTACTGTATTATTGATCAAATAAATGCAGCTTTGGGGAGCAAGAGATTTCCGTCAAAAACATTAAAATCGTTTTTACCTGTGTGCCGGACCACAGTGTTGGTATGGTGTCCATTCTGCCCCAAGTGTAGGTGCCAAGGTAACACTGTATGAACCCTGAGCTCTACTGTGGCAAAGCGTGTAAACTGGCTTCAAATGAACATCAGAATCCTGAGACTGGAAACACACATTTAATCCATAAAATTGCCAAAACAATTTGTTCTTTTTCTTCTATAATCGATAATTCTCTACCTAGTCCAACCAGATCAAACTAAGCTAGAAAAACAGATCAAAAACCACCACACTGACATACAGAGGGTCTGAAAAGTGAAATTTGTATTTTGTATTTAATAATCTGATATAATTACAAATAATATTACCAGCCTAATAATTTGTAACTAAATTACTAACATTAAAAGTTAACCACGGGAAAGAAATGAACTTGCAAACACGGAAAAAAAAAAGCAAAGATACGTAGATGCAATATTTTGTCTGAACCTTCACAGCAGATACAGCTGCATGTGCAGCAGTGCTGGTTTGAGGATCAGTTTCAGGCATCAAAAGTTGGAGAAGGTGTGTTTCCTGGGAGCTCTGAAGCACTTTCAGGCTGTCTGACTGTGTGAGGGGGGAGAGGAGTATGGAGCTGCTCTGATTCTGAACCATGTCCATTAAAGAGGCCAAGAGCGCACACTCAACACCAGTTACAGGTTCAGCCAAACACAGCAACACACATGTACTGCCTTCAGCTGTTAACACATAAAACATAAGGAGAGAGAATATAGAAAGCACTGTCATTGCTTTCAAAAATATTAGCAATGTTAACAAATATATAACAACATATTACAGTATTATCAGTAATCAAGAAAGTAGACAGGTAGCTGACCTGGACATGTGTCTGGCAGGATGACGGACAGGTCATTGCGTAATCTGTGTGCCTGGTTATCAGACAGCCAAAAGAGGACCAGAGAAGGGGGTGGGACTTCGCTGTCCTTAGCCAGGCCACACGCACTCAATATAGGCTCATCCCATACACTGTATTTACATACATTAGGTGTCGATATAGAAATGTTCACTGAAGAACCTGAACAAACAAAAAGGAAAAGAGGTTTAAAAATGTAGAATCATATATATTACATATAGATATTACCTATATCTAATTATGATATAAAATATAATATAAAAAAAATATAAAGCTCTAATTATAATATAAAATGTCTAGAATAATAAATGTTATAGATTTATTTTAGTTAAATAATAATCTACAAAAAAACATAGCAAATGCTTAATGTTCACTTCACCAGAATATTTCTAATAATAATGTTTGCTTAAAACATGTTTACCTCTTAATGAAAAAGTGATCTTGTCTGTAGTGACCTGAAAAATGGTATATTAAAAATCAGTGACAAACAGAAAATAGAGAGAGATCCAGAAACATTCCTGATACACTTCCTGTTGTACTTTTTTTATGTAAACCACAGCTTTAGGACCATGTGATATTTCAGTTTTTCTTTTTTAATAAATCTGCAAAAATGTCAACAATTCTGTGTTTTTCTGTCAATATGGGGTGCTGTGTGTACATTAATGAGGAAAAAAAATGAACTTAAATGATTTTCGCAAATGGCTGCAATATAACAAAGAGTGAAAAATTTAAGGGGGTCTGAATACTTTCCGTACCCACTGTATGTGGCCCTGGACCACAAAACCAGTCACAAGTGTAAATTTTTCTGAAAGCCGAATAAATAAGCTTTCTATTGGAGTATGGTTTGTTAGGATAGGACAATACTTGGCCGAGATACAACTATTTGAAAATTTAGGAATCTGAGGGTGCAAAAAAAAAAGTCATTAGCAATGCATATTACTAATCAAAAATTAAGTTTAGATATATTTGCGGTAGAAAAATTACAAAATGTCTTCATGGAACATGATCTTTACTTAATATCCTAATGATTTTTGGCATAAAAGAAAAATCGATAATTTTGACCCATACAATGTATTGTTGGTTATTGCTACAAATATACCCGTGCTACTTAAGACTGGTTTTGTGGTCCAGGGTCACATATTTGATCAGTCCAACCCACCACATCAACATAGCACTCTCACCTTCATACTCTCACAATTGGCACTAACTCCACCCATGTGAAGGGAAGACAGCTGTAGCTCTATCACAGCTGAACTCTGACAATGAAAACGTACATACACACATCAGCGCCAGTGTCTGGCTGGAACAGCCTCCATTAAGCTAGATGTTTTTTACATCAAGCTATTATGAGACACCATCAAATCAGCTATATACTATTTAGTAATTATTTAGTAAATAAAATGAATAATTTTTGTCCAGTACGTGGATCACCATACCCACCTGTGTGTGAATGACACTCGAGTGTTTTTTCTGCTTGTAAACTCTTACCGATTTATCTTCTTTATTCATGTCTTTTGCACCCTCCAGTGGCTGGATGTTTAGGGAAGAGGCTTCCACCTCTTTACTTTCCTCTCCTTCCTGTTCCTCTTCCTCTTCACTGGACAGAATAACTTAGCAAGGCAACAATGGAATTATTGTCTTCAAATAACAATCATACAAAGTTAGAAAAAACGCCTTGGTATATCTGTGTGGCATGTAAAAACCAAATAATGTTTGATATTTATTAGTGAAATAATATTTACCAATTACATACACTTCCGTTCAAATGTTTGGGGTGGGTAAGATTTTTT